TTCAGTCAGTTAACAATATTTACTGAGGCCGTAGACAGATCTGGGGGAATAAACTACTGAATCAATCATTAAGTCAGAGCAATGGTTCTCTGTGATATGGTACACCCTGTTTAGAATAAAATCACTGTACGTGCCAAGAAGTTCCTGAGTAACAACTGCAGCTAAGATACCACTTTTATTGTGGTGCAGGTCAGACTACAAATTTAAAATATTGCTTCTATTTTTAAAGACTCTGTAGTTTTATTGCTGTCTTAAATTTCAAATGATTTATTCATAAATATGTATTCTTATTTTGAACATGCTCCAACACGGCTCACAACGAAGGAAAGTTTTTGGCCAGAATGATATTCCTGCAATTGGAACACAGGTAAACAGGCAGTAGGCCACTAGTTCAAGGACCTCTTAGTAGTGTCTTTTATGAATTTGACTGAGAGTCCCTCTCTAATCTGCTTCTCTGAACCCAGTGGACCCATCTCCTCATTCCATTTCACGTATTTGGAATATTCCACGGAAAGATGTCAAAACATGATGCAAAGCTGAAAGCATCTTCATACAGACACAACGTTAGACAGAGTGAGGAAGAAAACCAGAAAACCTCTCCTTGTTGTTCTAACCATTGGAAACCTTCTTATACTATATGTGCTGAGAAGAAATTCAGGGAATTGGACAATACATCAGTTCTTTATTCATTCCAAGAGCCACCAGCAATCATAAATACCCATAATCTTGGATCGACTATTAATAACTGGCTTAAAACTCCCACACCTACCCTTAACTACTTTGCCATCTAACTTCCTTACTGAGGGTATACAATGCCACTAGTGTCAAAGAGTTTAAATTATAATTGTCTCAAGAACTAAAAATGGTATTCTAAGACTTTTAAATTAATTTTCTTCCGAATGAAATTCAGAAACATAACTATCTCCTTTGTCTCTCCCCCCACCCGGAGATACTACTGAAAAATCAGATGTTTTATACCTGGTTAATATATTTTGTTAAGTTTTAATATCAAGGAGGTGTGAAAAGAGGGAAGTATTATTGATCAACTCTAAATAAATTCACTGTAATTCATTTATGACCTGACTTTAAGATGGAGCAACCCAGCGCCTTCAGATCTGACCATAAATTGGCAAGTGAAACACAGAAAGGGAGGAGGGAAGAAAGTAGTTGTCATTAGGAAAGATACAGGGTACAAAGAAAAGCATCAAGCTGCTATCTCTGTTACATCTTGGGGAATATTTATTTTATTTGATGTATTTGCAGAGACTATTGAATAATGCTTCTGGTCACATTTATGACTATAATTTATTTTTAAATACTCTGAATGCTACCAGTTTGACTTACAACATAATAAACAATATAAAGCAAAAGGTATTTGGGATGAAACTGAATAGAATTTCAAAATCTCACATGTAGTTCTCTGAGTGTGTATCAGTCGAGAGCCGAGGAAACTTGCCTTTGGTCCAGAAAGAAAGCAAGATTCCCTAGCTTTGTGTTGCCATGAAAGTCCCAAGTGTAAGAGTAAAATTGACTATTTGCTCAGCCTATTAAAGAGCTACTTTTAGACCGTGCTACCTGTTAGTGATTAGGGACCATAATTTTCAGAGTTAGAAGTAACTCAGAATCCTGGTCCTCATGTTTTATCCTTCAGCCCCTTTAAGTGACATCAAGGGCATTGATAAAAGACAAAGCTAAAAATGAGAGTGCTTGCCCTCTAATGGGCCCACTGTGACATTCCTCAAAAGGAAGTAGTCAAATAAGACGAACATGCAAATTGAGACCCATAGTTCAGGTTATCTAATTTTTACTATTCGGAACCTACGGCCTAACACTGAGCTTCTTACCTTGTCAACGGAAGAGGCATTACCCAGTTTTGCTTTCTGCTGCCTTCTTTCTGCAGTCTCATGGTTCAATGAAACTTTTACTTGAATCCTGAAGCTATGTAATCTTCCCCTACATAATCCTTCCCCTTTGATATTTGGCTGACAGATCTAACTTAGATTTCAGCTGACAGTAGAGCTTGGGTCTTAATTTTGCTAACAGATATTATCTACCAGTGTAATGAATGGCTAAATTATAAACTCTGCTGTCTGACATAATCAAGGAATAGATGTTCTGGTTATCAAATTTTTTGCTAGCAGATTAGTGCTACATATGCCATCTATGAATCAGCCATATTCAAAGAATAGAAATAAAATTTATTTAATAATAATGATATATTATACTCTGAAATAATATTATTGACTTATTAGCTTATTTTCTTTCTCCTCCAAGTAGAACAGAAGTCCTGGCTCAGAGAGCAGGAGCTCTGTCAAACTTGCTCACTGCTATAACCATACCTGACACACAGGAGATAATAAATGAACAGAAGAACAAACATAAGACAATCTTTTTTATTCAGAAGGTAATTTAGAATGTAACAGTTTCTTAGGAGGATCATATACTGCATATGCACAAATGTGTCCATTAATAAAGTTCTGCTTTACATAGCTTGCTGGATAATGGAATTTCTTGCATTTTCACTTTAGCCAGTTGAAACGCTGATTGAGCACCTAATTTGCACTCTGTACTTAATTGTATGAACAGGCAAATAAAATGAAGTATCTGACTAACCTCTTACTCACTTTGAGGCTCCAGTCCCCCATCTGTAAAATAAGAGGTCAGACTAAAACTCTATGCATCCTTTTCAGCTCACATAAGCCACTGGCAGAGGAGACCAGAAATTATGCTCTGAGGTTTCAGATGGGGGGTTGGACCCGCTGAGCCGCAAAATCATGTGGCAAGGTTTGGGATACCAAGGACCACCCTCAAGACCAATACCCTCATTTAATAATTTCCGTTTAATAACTAACGCATCACTAAGCGTGAGGCATCCAGTATCACCTCACGTACTCAGTATCACCTGTGATGTTTTCTTGCCAAAAATTCTCCACTTGATCTAATCAACCTTTTAGCTCTAACTTCCATGTATAGGAACTCCTGGGTTGGAGGTACAAAAAAGATACCATGAGAAAATAATCAGGCAAATCTCGAATTTGGGAGAAACTGACGTGGCCTTTATAACAAGTCAATGCCATGGGGAGAGAGGGAGAGAGAAAGAGAGAGAGAGAAAGGTGGGAGGGGGAGAGAAGGACTGACTGAGAGATAACCATCATATGTAATACCTAGTTCTTTATTTGAGCCTGGTTTGAAATAAAACAGATATAAAAGATATTTATGGAATAAATATTTATTTATTGATGGATACTTATGGGGAAATTTGAACTGTGGACTGAGTATTAGGTAACAGTAGGATATTATCTTTAGTTTTATAGGTGAAATAATCATATTATGGGTTTGTAGCAAGATGTTCTAATTTTCTGGAGATACATGCTGAATGTTTAGGATGAAATGTCATGAAGTTTGTCATTTACATTAAAGTGGTTCAGCAAAAAACAAAGATGAAGCAGATGTGGCTACAGGTTAACAGCTGCCGAACTAAGTGGGGGTGTATGGGTGTGCATTACAGCATCCTTTTTGATTTTCTGTATGTTTGAACATTTTTTTAATAATACATTTTTTAAAAATGTTCACAGGTAGCAACTTCTCAGGAACTTCCTTCACAGCACTGAGGGCTCCTAATGAAAATAAATTTTTAAATATTTCCACAAACCATCCTTGATCAGCAACTTGAATAAGTCATCATAGAAAAAAGCAATTATAACGACACACATCCCCGGTAGAAATCATTTTTGTTCTTAAACCAGTTTCCCAAATTTTCTTTTTGGAAAAGTCTTTACAGTTTACCTTTTAAAATGAAAGATCCAAAAAACGGCTTATTTGCCTCAAGCTTGGTGCCTTTTAATTGATAGAAAACCTCTCCACACACACCTCATGCAAACCTACTTCAGCTTTGCCTTCCGAAAACTAGCTTTTGTCTCTGAACTTTACAGAGCAGCTGGAGCTCTTTAATATTTTCTAAGAGGAGCATTTCAAACAAGTAACCCCGCCATTTATTCACTACTGCCAAGAATAAAAGTAACAGGTTTCACCACCAAGGCCTTCCAAGGCTTTGCAGGACTTTTAAGGCAAAGCACTACTCATTCACCTGCCGGTCTGCTCCCTTAATGCATCTGTCATTTGTTTGGCTCTGGGGGAAACTATTTGATTACACGAAACTCTTTTTAGATCAAGTTTAAAATCTTACCCACACTGGGACAAGTGACGAAGCTTGCCAGCTCGATGGGTTAACACTTGGGCATGCTGAACCACAGACAAAAACAAGGAACAACTACAGGTTAAAACAGAAGCTTGAAGAACTGAAAAGGGAATAAGCATAAAAGATGCAAGCCTTGGCTGGGCCTTTCTAAGTACTCCATTTGCCATTATAGCATATAAGATGATTTATTCCCCATACTTCTTGTACACGAGTGCAGTACCCCAAGGGGCGCTGGTAAGCAGCGGGAAATGCACGAGCTCCCAGGGCCAGGAGCATCCATCCACTGCTGTGCCACCTATGCATTTTGAAGTTGGCAAGTAACCAGACATCTTTATGTCCCTCATTTCCCACACCTTATTACAGGGCACATCATTTTTAAAAGCATTTAAAGAAGCAGATGTTAACCCCATTCATTCCACTTTACCAGGGAACATGTCAATGATGATTTTTAAAATGCAAAAGAAAATGTCAAAGTATTTTGTTCCCTGGTTAAGAATACATCTGTGGAACAGGAGGGAGGAAATACATAAAACACTCTATGGTCATTCAAGAAATAATTATAAGGTATGTCAAACTATAGAAAATTGAGCAAGCACTAAATTAAAAAAAAAAAAAAAAAGGATGTCTTGTGTCAAAATGGCTTTTTCAGTCACTCATTTCAAAAACAAGTTTTGAAAATTAAATTCCATCCACGGGCTTGGAACAGAACACATTAAGGCTTGACTGTAATGCCATTATCCACGTGGCAGCTCCCTTTCTTTTCTGCCTCTACATTAATTGACAAAGAAGCCTTGGGGCTCACCTCCCATAGCGCCTGGAAGTCCTTCTGCTCGATGCGGAGCAGTTCGCTGCTCTCCCTGGTAACGATGGTCGCATGGCGGGGTGTGTTGTCCAGAATGGACTCTCCAAAGGCTGTCCCGATTCCCAGAGTACAGATGGTCACTGCATCCTGAGAATCCCAAAAACTGGTCATTAGAAAATTAAACATTTAACCAGTAGGTGAGTTGTCTTTTCTTTGAACTGAAGTATAATCTGTGCACAATAAAACATTCAATTCGATTGCACAGTTCAACAAATTTTGACAAATATATACACCGTGTAATCACCACTCAAATTAAGACATAACGTTTCTATCACTCCCAAAAGTTCCCTCATGCTCCTTTTCAGTCAAACCCTCCTTTCAGAGGTAATTGATGTGATTTCTATCACTATACAGGAATTTTGCCGGTTTTAGAAGTTCATGTAAAAGGAGTCAGACAATATGCCCTCTTCGGTTTCTGGCATCTTTGGCTCAACATAATGTCTGTAAGATCCATCTATGTTGTTGCACGGATCAGTGGTTTTTTCCTCTTACTGACGAGTAATTTTCCACGGGATGGATATGCCACGATTGCTTATCCATTCTCCTATTGGTGGACACTTGGGTTGTTTCTAGTTTGGAGATATTATGAATAAAGCTACTAGCAACAAGCTTGTGAAAGTCTTTTTGTGGACAGGGTTATCTTTTTATATGACTACTCTCTGCTTTAAGAAAAAAGGGGGCAAATCTTGTGAAAACGAACTGAGTTTTTTTAGTGAAAGGATGCAGTTACAATATTTAAACAGGAAACTGGAATAGGCCTGCTATTGTGTCAGTCTGTCCTGAAAGCATGAAGAAATTGAGGGTCAGAGTGATTGATTCAGATGGCTCTAGTTCACGCAGATAATAAGTAACGGAGTCAGATTCTAACCATGGCTATCAGACTGTAGATTCCATGCTCTTTGTATGATGCTGCCTCCTGCAGCCACAACAGAGAAAAAACAGCTTCGGATGCAGTGCACTGTGGCTAGTTTATAAAATGTTGTGAATCAATGATTTAAAAGTTTCTTAAGGTGTACTAAAAAAAGTAATTTCCTCTCTGTATGCAACATTGGTGATACTACTTGTATTTAATCCTAACTAGTCTCAAATAATGCAAATAGCCACTCGAAATCACCTTGACATTAATTTTGCAGGGCATTATCAATGAAGGGAGATACACAAGAGTACTCCTCTGAGTTAGAAAGCAGTTTTCCTTTCACGCGTCTAATACACGATAATAGACAAATGTTATTAAGATCAAGTTAGTGACTCTAATCACATTACTAAGACAAATGCCCATAAGAATCCAGTCCCCTGAACCATAGCAAATTGCTTCTGCACACATATAAAATTATGTTCTGGAAAATAAAATCAATAATATCTCAAAAAAGAATGAAAGATCAGGGGGAGACAGAAGAATAGCTTGCTAATAAATTTTCCAGAAAGGCAGTTGCAAACAAATTGACTCAGAAAAATATCCCAGAACTGAAATATCAATACTCAGTGAGTTAGGTACTTCTGAGTAATTTTCAAATTCTAGTAAAAACACAACATGGATTATGGTAAGTCATACACTTTCAAAAATTCTCTGGAATATCAGGTTCCCCTTGAGAATCCCACTAGCTATTACATTTTTTTTTTTTATCATCTGAACCCTTCAGAAAGGATTCTTTTACCTAATTTGTACTTTCCAGTATAAAATTCTATTTTAGAACTTGACAGGGATGGGCCATAATATTACTTCTGCCACTATTCACGTAGCTTAAATATCTAAGGTTATCTGCAAATTTTAATGCAAAAGAACTATGAAGATCTGTTACTTATGAGCTAGTTGTAGATTTTTATGGATTAAATAGTCTTCTCCTTTCTCACTTCCTATTCCTGACACATGTAGTTTGTCATCAATAGGTATACAAAGAAAGAAACAGGCTGTGAAAGTCACATGAGCCTGTCTCCTTGCTAGTGAACAAAAGACAAAAGGTGGAAATGATTCTTGCACTGCCCCTGGAGAGTTAACATTACCCAAGCATTATCACATATAACAAAATTGAGCCATGTTAGTATTGCCAACTGCACTGGTCAGTGTAGCTCACTGTGTCAGGACCTCTGGAAGGAGAGGCACCTGGCCTCGGTCATTTGACCAGCACCCAGGCTCATTTCCAGGAACCCACACTCTCCTACCAGAACTGAGTGTGGGATCAGTCCTTCACACATTTCCTCCTTCGTACTTGACCCACTCAAATTTACAGACAGGGAGTCACAAATACAAGATGTGATCTTGAAATTAGGACCGTAAATCCTCACTTGAAAGGAGTATTACTCGCAAGTTCAAACTTGACTTTCAGCAGACTCAGAGTATTTTTAGGACAAATACACTTAGAAATCTGACTGGATGTGGGAGGTATGGATTGGGCACTGGGATAACTGGGCACAGGGAAGTGGAAGGTCCTAAGAACATCTTCACTCTAAACACTAATCACGTCTCCATAGCCCATGGGCGCTGGCCTTATCTGAATTCCAGGCAGGGCCTTGCAATGTGCTTAGAAAATAATTGTCAAATTAAGAAATTTACATTCAAATGTTCTCTCATTTAGCAGAACCAGTATACGTTGCTCAGTATGTACGTTGAAAGGCAGGATAAATATGAACGGGATGAATGTGAATCAATGTGGTGAGAGCATCTTATTTTGGTCCACGCTACCATCTAACTAGATCCCTATAGGTCAGAATTCCAAGCCTGAACCCCTGTAAATATACTTCACACATGTCTTTGCCTGTGGCTGAAACTGTCCATTTCTGAATGTAACATTACTATTTCTTTTAAGCTTACACATACTCAAGAGATCTATTCATGTCTCAATACTTATTTATTTATTTATTTATTTTTGCTGAGGAAGATCAGCCCCGAGCTAACATCTGTTGCCAATCTTCCTCTTTTTGCTTGGGGAAGATTGGCCCTGAGCCAACATCTGTGTCAATCTTCTTCTATTTTGTATGTGGGTCACTACCACAGCATGGCTACCAATGAGTACTGTAGGTCCCCACGCGGGAACTGAATTTGGGCTGCAAAGCGGAGTGCACTGAACTTAACCACTAGGCCACAGGGCCATCCCCCTCAATACTAATTTAATAAGGACTGTTTTATTTTCTGCTCATTTGCAAATTAGTGTTCAGAAAGGCTACCTGAAAGAAAATATTTAGTGACATAGAGACTGAAGAAAGCAATCAACACCTACTCAAGAACTATGAAACATTAACAACAGTGAAGGAATGTCCTGTTTTGTGACAAGATGGCAATGTATTTTGAGGACTTTCAAATATGAAAAGAAGGTTTAAAAACTTGAATGTCAGGGCTGGCCCAGTGGCATAGTGGTTAAGTTCACATGCTCCACTTCGGCAGCCCGGGGTTCGCAGGTTCAGATCCTGGGCGCGGACCCACACACCGCTTGTTAAGCCAGGCTGTGGCAGCGTCCTGCATATAAAATAGAGAAAGACTGGTACAGATGTTAGCTCAGCGACAATCTTCCTCAAGGAAAAAGAGGAAGATTGGCAACAGATGTTAGCTCAGGGTCAATCATCCTCACCAAAAAAAACTCCCCGAAAAACAAAAAAAAACTTGAATGTCTTCAATATATGATGGTGGGTTTAGCAGATGCTGCTGGAATCCTGCCAGATCCCCCCCCACCCCGGAAGTCATTTGTAGCTTTCTGGACAGTTCCCATACATACTACAGCTTCCTCTCTCGGCCACCTGCGTGGCTCCACCTGAGGGCAGGTTGCTGGGTAGTTAATGCCTGTACAGTGCAACATCCACCAAGGAGGCATGAGAGTAGGAGGTTAAATAGGAGCTTCCTAACCCTACACAATGTCTTAGAGGGTCCCCTGAAGGAGTGAGCCAGTTGCCCACAGTGGAAATCCTGTTAACACACTTTTTGTATTGACTTGGCTTCATTCCTGCTCTCACTTCCCCACTCCCTTACAATGCTTCCTAGGGTCATCTCAAAAAAAACCATTTGTAGCCAAATCTTTGTCTTCAGGTCAGCTTCTGGGGAAATCCAAAACAAGAGAGTGGGTTAGCCAAACATGGCTGTGAGCCCTCAGTTACACTGAGACCTCTGGGGAGGTACTGGGCTGAACCAGCATTCCCAAAGGGACTTCTGTAACAGGGACAGAGACCAGCTTATCACTTAGTGCTTTGCATCAGACACATCGTAAGTGCAGTATCCCTTGTGACATGTGGGAAGATCTCATAGTGTTAGTAAAGCATACTGGGTCGCTGAGGCCAATTCTACTATATAACTAGGGGTGATGGGCTCTCAAAACAAGAATTATTGATAGCACATCACTGACACGTCATCTGGTTTCTTCCTCCGACCTAACCTATAGAGAATCCATACAGGTTCTTTTTTCAATCAGCCAATCTATGTATTTATTGAATACCTAGTAAGTCCAAATCGTCAGGAAAATATACAACATTTGGCATTGCTGCCCCTCTAACTCCCCAATTCCAACATTGGGGTCCATTTGACCCTCACCTAGATGATCAAATCCCTTCCAAGCTGGGGCACCAATCCTCTTCCTCATTAGGAGAAATGTAAGCAGTCATAAGCCAGAAACTAAGAATCACAGCAGCATTTCTGCTTTTCCTACTCTGATCCTGTGCCCCAATTCTCATAATGGAGCTCCTACCTTGGTTGGAGAAACTGAGTTTCTCTCTTTCTGCATCTCTGCCTTGAGAACCTGCCTGGTATCCTAATTCTTCTGAAAGTGGCCAACCATCTTGTTCTGACAGCCCTTGCTGGGCCCCCATTCTTCTCTGGCTTCCTTCTAATGCCGGGCCTCTCCGTCAGGCTGCCCGGCTGCCCACCTCCATCACTGGGCCTGCTTCCTGACTCCCTGCCCATCACCAAGCCATGCCCCCTCATGTTACCACTTGTGAGACCTGCCTCGGCCCTTCACCATACTAACCTGGGGGCTGTTTTGCTCCAACGTTCAGCTTCCTCTCCATGTCCTGCCCAGCACCACCTGAATATGCCCTCTAGATAGTTCCCACCTCCACTCCGGGCAGCCCCCAGTTTCCAGGTTCTCCTCCTCTGCCCAGCTAGGCAC